CTCAAATCCTTACCTATCATAAGGTGGGATGGACACTTAAGCACAGGGCGGCCTGCTTGTCATATGGTCTAACAGTCCAAAGACATTTGTTTTTCTTGTAAATGAAGAATTATTCATGTTCTTTAGTATTATAGCTGCAATAAAAACCTCGTGTGCCCACCATCATACGCAAATATCGTGTATTGATTAAATCCGAGTTTTATATAACCATTGAGACTTGAACTCAAGATGTATAGGTATAGACTCGCCACTTATTCAATCATTGAAGCAGTTGGTGGGAGAATTGAGATCCTCTTCACTATATTTTCGCTCAGTTTTATTTAATAGTAAATTATCTATCGTGTATAGACGAGAGAGACCCACTTATTTATAGTGAATCTCACTTGAATTTATAATAAGTGATCTAACTTTGAATACAATTGAATGAAAATATAACAAAAAAAATCTCTAGCAATCAATCCGATAGATAATGTCTTGGGCCTTGGCCAATGGAAAGTTGGAAACATTTAATGCAAACCCCAATCATGATAAACTTAAACATCCAAGACGCAAACTTCTATAATGTTTTGTAACAACTTTCTGGGAAAATAAGCTTCTTGGAAAGTGAAGATGTTATTAATGGGTCATGAAGCAAGGATTAATTACCCAAGAAATTGTATTGGTATCCTACAAAGTTTTTGACAAACTAAAGCCTGCAGCGTAAAAGTCTATAGGGTTTACCATGCAACCAAGTTGTTTTTGGATAAGTTGGATGGGTTTTCAGTTCGATCCAAATTTGACTTAAGTTATAAAATTTTTAAATCGGGGTTAACTTGAACTCGACTTTAACTCAAATCCTTCAATTTGATACCGCTCATGAATAAATTTTATAACTTGAGTTGAACTGAAGTATCACAACCGAGGCAAAAATTGGAGATTATTTTTTTTTTCAGGTTGAAAGTCGAGTTCAAAGTAGACTGAAAGATGAAATTTATGTTTTGATTCAAGGGTTATACTACTTGGGCTGAAATTCGAATCCAATTAGTGCTCAATTTTAATTGGATTCTAAAAATTAAAGACCCCAACTCAAGTACGGAGAGATGAAATTAATTACCTAATTCAAACCTAATACATGAAATCTCTATCCGAATACCAAGTGGTTAATTTCGGGTGCCCCTTCCCAATTGGACCTTTAATTGATTGCATGTTCATGTGGCAGATTAACACTGTCAACACTAAGGATTAACTCACGTGGTAACTAGATAAGTTATAAATCCAAATGTTTTGAATTCGAATTTTAACAATCTCTTGGGGCTAATCTATGAGAAATTTATCTCTCATGAATACTCTAATCCCGGTATGAATGATCTGTCTTTGCCCAGACCAAGACAAAAATTAGTCGAGATGCACGTAATCTACCCTAGACACTCTTGACCGTTGAACTAAAAATAAAAGACCGGCACCGCCAAGATAGTGTTAAACAAACAAAACCAACTCATTGATATATAATTATGTAAAACCCTAATCAAACTAGCATTAATTAATCATATCTCCGCGTTGGCTAACGTGAGATTGAGATTTTTTTTTAAAAAAAAAAAAAGCTTTGACACAAAGTTTAGAAGGTTCGCTGCTCAGAAAGGAATCTTGGCTCAGAAATAGAAGTCGATGCTAAACTAAAATGATTTTAATATTCAATTGCTGACATTGTTTTGTGTATAATATATGTTTTACTTGATTAATATAATGACAATCCATTCATTTATTGAGAGAAACAGCACAAACAGTGGAGCATAATATGCTAGGATGTCTCCATGAAAGTACTGCTTCATTTGTCCTTTAGTAGTATAACTTTCATGAGGTTTGAATCCAGCAACATAGTGCAAAGACATGGCCGATTTAATAGTTCCATTTAGGGTTTCAAGCCCTAAAGCTTCCGTTTTCAAGATCCAATAGTTTGCTTAAAGCCTTAAACAATGAGGGCATGTCTTGGTGGTTTGCTAAAATTATTTCATTATGATTTTGAGTGTCATGAATTTGAGTTGTAAAAACAAATTCTTTTTATGAGTGTCATATACTATTGAACCTCCTCATATCCTACAATAGAGGGATCTCGTGGACTGAATAGCTTTTTTAAAGTTTGAATCCAGCAATATATAGTTGCAGACATGGAAGATGTTTATAGTCCCATTTAGGTTTTCAAGCCTTAAGCTTCCGTTTTCAAGAACCAATAGTTGCTTAAACAATGAGGGCATGTCTTGTTGGTTTGCAAACATTATTTCATTATGCTTTTGAGTGTCATGGGTTCGAATTGGAGAAACAAACTCGTTTGATGAAAATGTCATGTACAATTGAACCTCCTCATACCCCACAGTGATGGGATCTCGTGATCTCGGGCAGTGGATAGCTTTTTTACAAGTTGCTAAAATCTTGGATTTCTTTGAAGGAACTTTAACTCAACCCAATTGTAACTTTCTGCCTCATGGAATAAAATACTCCCTCCCTCTCCCCGGGGGAAGGGCCAAGAAGCTGATCAGTTACAAGACCACAAATCCTTATCTATTTTGCAGATCTTCATTACCCATTTCAATTGCGCATGGCATGAACCTACTCCTTCTGGAGGTTGCTTCTTACTTTGAACTTGTCGTTACAAACCCACGTTAAGAATGCGAATAAGTACGAGCATCACCAGATAAGACAAAACCCTCTTTCTACAACATAATCGATGACCTTGAGATAATAATCTACAATGTCTTTCCATCCAAACTATCTTGATTCTTGACAGTTTGTCTAAGTTTATAGTTTTGCAATTGCATTTCAACGTCTTGTATACATCATGAAATTGAAATCCTTGCTAAGGTAAGCGATTGATGAAGTTAATTACATCTTTATCCAAGTCTTTTTTCCTTCTTTTTTTTCGTTTGGTCATTATCAAAATCTAGTTTGAGTTCAATAATTCAAATGCAACTTAACAAGGACCACCAACACATGCATTTCTGGCAGTGACATTCTCCTTCACCCACAGAATATTTTCATTTATTGTTTTTTTCCTCTAACTTTTAGCTAGTTTTTGAGACACAGAAAGAGACTCCAACCCTTTTGAGCCAGCAAGGACTGAGGTGATAAGGTGCCATAACTGAAAAACCCACAAAGCTTTTTTGTCCTGCTTTTGTCTGAAAGAAAGAAAAAAAAACATTTTTAGTTCACCAGAAAGTTGAATGGCAGGTGATTTGATTTCTTTCCAAACTTGTAGTTTTTTACACAACCTGAATGTAGATATTTTTCTGGATATATAGAGACATTTTTGTGTGTGTATTTCCTCAATTTCTGGGGCTATGATAACGTTGCAGTTGCAGTTGCAGGGATAATGATCAGTGAAGGGAGGACCATACCAAAGTTGTACATTTGGAATTGTAGCTATCAAATGACAATGACTTCCCTAATTTGAAACCGAAAGCCATAACCGTTTGATCATGTTAGTATTGGTGCAGTGCTAACTAGATGAGGTACTCATTGGACGGTGGATATTGAGTCACAGTAGCAACAGTTGTAGCAAGGAATAGAGTGATTTTCTGATACTTATTATTTTTTTTAATCTAATTTGGATCCCCAAGAATAAATTTGTCGATCTACCTTGTATATAAAACATAATGGTTAATGGGTCTGCTTGAAACTAGCTTACATAAGTAGCTTTTAAGGTTATTTTTATACCGGCGTATGCAACAGCTTTTTGAACCCACGAACCTAACTTTTTTATCAGTTTATGCATTAGTTTTTTGGATTTAAAAAAATTTATTTAAATTGATTTAAGAAAATGATTTTATAAGTTTTTCTTTTGACTTATTAGAGTTTTGTCATAGGTTATACATAACTTTTTAATTTATTATATTTATAAAATATTATTAGTGACAAAAAAAATTAAAATTTATATTTTGGAAACTATTATACATAATCTATACATAATTACATACATGTAATTATTATTTTTATTTTGACACAAAAAAGCCAAAATGGCAAGACAGTAATTTCAAATGGACTTTTTCAATTTTTTTAGTATTTTAAAGAACACCTCAAATAGTTTTGAGAGACTTATTTAACTCTAATTTTTTTGAGAAATTTTTCAAACTGTAATTTTTTATTTAAAAAAATCAGCTCCAAACATACCCAATATCAAAAAAACATTGAAAAACAAAATATGCGGGAAAAGATTTTTTTTTAGTGTATGGTAAGATACTGACCAAAAACAACCCAACACACCCACTTGGAATTCATGCCTGTGGTAATGTTGTAACTAAAAACATCCCAACACAAACCCACTTGGAATTCAGCGTGGCATTGATAAGAGAGTGCCGTTGAAGCAACCACTTATTTTACAGCCTCTTTACTCGAGCATTAATATCTTAATGGGAAAATAATATTTAAACTCCAAGTCATTGAATTGGTAGCGAGTCTTAAATAACAATGAATTTACTGTAAAATCAGAATGATTAAATTAATAAATTAGATTCAAGTAACATTATTCTATTTTAATCAAGTCCATGTGTTTTTTTTTTTTTTGGTTGATAACCCAGTAACCGCCCACCAATCAAGCCTATTTAGACTCGTGGCCGATAGTCAATTTGGATCCACACGCAAAGCCGCTCTCTATGCCCGGGGTTAAATTTAGGAGAGGTAATCTCAAAGAACATTTTTACTCCGTAAAATATTGAATTATTGACCGATACCAACTTAAAGTATCTATCAAGGGGACGACTTCCACTTGAGCTACCCTGGGGTTAATCAACTCAATGTTGCCACATCAATTTCCACTACAATATTAGACTTTTTTGTTTTAATGAAAAGAACAAAATTAAGGTTTATAATTCAAGGAAAAATTTGAACCTAATTTGAGGAAGTATGCAAGAACAACACCACAGATACACACACGTATATATATGTGTGTGTGTACAGAGAGAGAGAGAGAGTATTGTGCTATCAATTCTAAAACTTCAGGTATACAAATTTTACATAGAAGAGAAGACTTCTCAGGATGAAGCATTGTCTATTGTTTTCTCAATCTCATCCTCAGCTTCTAATGAAGATAAACAAGGACTAGTAGAAATGGAAGAAGAAAATGATAAAGGAGAAGTAAAAGAATGAGTGGTAGTAGAGGAACAAATACATTGATCATCAGAAGCAAAAGAAAGACCAACCAACAAGTCAACAAAAGCTCCAACAATATAACCATGGTTGCTCTCTCCATTGACTCTCAGATACCAACTCAAAAGCTCTTCAAGACCCTCCCAATCCTTCAACCCATGAGCCTCCACCATTTCCTCCATTGAACTCTTGAAGTCAACAAATGGGTCTCTAGAATCCACCGCCATAACCACACTTTCTTTAAAAGGAAACCCATCTGTCTTGGCCTCCTCTAGAATGGACCTTGTCTCACCAGGCTCAAAAAACAGCCTCTCCGATCGCAACCCTCGAACCACCGTCTCTATCGCCTCGCCACCGTGGTCTTCTGACTCCATTGAAAAGCTTGTGGATTCGGTGGACTTGCTGAAACAGAGCTCTGGTGTGTCCACAACTTTAATGGTAGTGTCAATGAAGGCCGAGTTTATTGTCCTGAACATGTCATTTCCAGCTCGAAAGGAGAGAGTTTTAGGGTTTCCACAGGTTGGCCATGGCCATGAAGAGCTTGGTTCTGTGGCTTTGAAGAGAAAAGGAAGCTTCATTTTCTTGCCCATGTGATTTCTAAAGGGCCTACGGAGCAATGTGGTCGCAGACAGAGAGAGAGAGAGTCTTCCTTTTGTTTTTTTGGTTGTGATTGTGAATGGAGTTGTTTGCTGTGGCATTAATAAATAGTCAGAGAGATTCAATTGGAGATTTTAAAAGAGTGGTGAGAGATATTAATATATCAAGAAGAGGTTGCTTGTGGGCTCTATACAGACCATAGAAGTAAATGTTGTTCAGTAGAGACCTCAATGAATTGAATAAGAGTATTATAGGAGTACTTCTCTTGTAGCTCTCAAATTTTGATTGGCTGTAAACAAATTGGTAATTGTTTATTGGGTGCATGTAAAAAATTTATTCTCTTTCAAATTCCTCATTTGTTTAAATTCTAAATAATCCAATGTCTAATTTAGTTTATCACTCTTGATTCTCTTAGAATTTCCCAACCAAGGGATTAGAAGATGAATCGTTACCAAACACAACGAGCCTGTTTGGAGTTGGTTTTCTTAGGTGAAAAACTACGGTTTGCAAAGTTTCACAAAAAAATCAGAGTTAAAAAAATCTCATAAAACTGTTTGAGGTGTTCTTTAAACCTAAAAAAATTTGGAAATGTCTTCTTGAAGTGACTTTTTAGGTTTTTTGTGTCTAAATAAAAAAATAATTACATGTATGTATAGATTATGCATAATAATTATTAAAATATGAATTTTAATTTCTTTTACGTCAGTAATAATACTTTATGAATATAATAAATTAAAAAATTATGTGAGACCTGCAATAAAACTCAAAAAAAATTGGAAGAAAAGTTCATAAAATCAGATTCTTGAATTAGAACAAATAAGTTTTTTTAGGTCCAAAAAGTTGTTGTCTAAGTTGATCCAAAAGCTATGGCTCTAAACAAATTTTACTTATTTTACTTCAAAAATTATAAAATAAACCTATTTTAGCTAGGTCCAAATGCTTGATTTCTTATAACCCTCTCTTTTGAGGTTCTATCGTGCCCTCTTTCAATTCTTTACTGTTTTGTGAGTGTTTTATACTCAACTATAAATACATTATTCGAAAATTGTAATAGTTCATTTTTTATTCTAATAGTGATTTATCGATGCATATCAACAAAAAAATTCAAAACTGCTTCCATGTTACAAAAGATTTAAATAGGCAATGACTTTGACATCCTGCTCCCTAATAATGTTTACATTTATGTTTGCTGCCATATTTAGTTGTCTAGATTTCAAAAAAAGGAACAAGGAGGGAAATCCCACCCTCATACACCACTGTTCTACTAACCATTGTGTTGTAAAACATTTAACACCTCTGATCTTGAAATCCCACCCTCATACACCACCAATCTCCATCGTTAGAAAGATAATAAAGACGAGTTGTAAATTTATACGTCTTAAGTTTGAATCTTGACAAATTCTTAGGATCAGACCATGAAGAATTTATTCTTTATAAATACACTAGTGCGTGTAAATTAACCCGAATACCTCTGACCGTAGAACTAAAAAATACAAATGTATCATGATCTCTAAAATATTTATAGTCAGATCGCAAGAGTAATCTCTTCCAAACTAGTTAGATAGTTTGATTCCTAGTATATCTCTTGACATTATAATTCAATGAACTTTTGTGCATGTCTTGAATTATATTATATATTTGATTTGTATTTGTCAATGAATTTTTTTTTAGGGGTTAACAAAAGAAACTTAAGTGTGGTGGGGGAAGCCAGAAGGGGCAGTTGGGTTGGTCTTCAATTTATAAATGCACCCACCAGCTTTAGAGTTGAGTGCCTTGAATGTTTGCTGTGTACCAGCCAGCCTTTTCTTCTATGTTAATTTTGATTTTTTCAAACTTGAATTATATTTTTTCTAGTTCAACGGTTAAAGATGTTCGCGTCAGCTTATGCTCATTTTGATTAGTTTTCTTCTTAGTCTAGTCAAAAGTAGGTGATCCACACTGGGACTAAGGTATTCATGAGGAATAAATTTCTCATGATTTGACCCTAAATAATTACAAAGATTTAAATTCAAGACGTTTGAATTTACATTTCGTTCCTATTATCACTTCAACTTAGAGTTACCAAACTTGAATTACCAAGTAAACACATCATTCTTTATTTTTATAATTTTCTTAAGTCATAGAGAGCTTGGTGTTGGTATTTAGACCATGCATGAGGGTGGAGAAGGAATTGGAAACCTTATGAATGGTTCGAAGTTAAATTAACTTTAAATTCATTAAACTAGTATGGATTATTTCAAATTAGGTTTTATAGTGAGCTTAATTAAGCTCTATTTGTATGCATGTGAAGTTCGGAATAAAACTTCGTTCAATTGAGTTAAGTTGAGTTGGTATGCGAGTGAAGTTAGTTCAACAAGACAAACTTCCACCGTCTTGGGTTTCAAAAAAGCAATAAATTCAAATGGATGTGAAACAAGAAGTATAATTTATTATACTGTATCAAAAAAGACTAATATTCAAGTGTTTGTCAAGTTAAAAAAAGGTCGAAGTTATTGATCGATGTGGTCCAAAAATTTGGATTAATCCTAAAAAACGTGAAATCAATCTCACAAAATTGAGTTCAGTCGTAAAAAATTGGGATCGATGTACAGTTTACTAAAAGTTTTTTGGTTACTTCCCAAATAAATCACATTGATTCGTAACTTGAAATGTTTAAAATACACATGCAGCTCCAACCATAGTCATAGCACATGGTACATTACTTTACCTTTTTCAAGTTTATCAAACAGCTTTTGGTGTTGGTGGTATATTATCTCTAGAATCACACCAATTTTTACCATCTTTTTGTCACATCAACTCTTTTTTTTAGCTGGCTTTTGGAGTTCGAAAAAGTTGGCTTTTCTTTAGAAGCCCTTAGATAAGCATTATTTTTCAACTTTTCCTTGGTCTTGTTAAAAGTTATTTTTGCCCAAAAAATTGATGAAAAAATCGTCCAATAAGCCCAAGTCCAAACATATCAAACTTCTTTTTCTCTAAAAAAAAAAAAAGCTGAGATTGTAAGTTAACTCTAAACAGGCCCAATATAATACATGAAAAAATATAATATATCATTAAAACAACAATGAGAAAGAAAATGGAATTGGGAACTATGTGATGGTGTGAGGTGTTTAATAAAGACCTATCCAACTCGACCGAGTAACAATAGGTCTTGTACCCCACCCTTCATCTTGTAGAATAGAACTATGCAATTCAGCTCAGCTCAACTCATTAAAGCTTCATCCTAATATTTTTTGGGTCAGTAGGATCGAATTATATCCCAGCAAAATAATTTTCTCCTATCAAACTGTAATATGATTTAGTGAGAGAGAGAGAGAGAGAGAGAGAGTCACATTTAATACTCCATGTTCATGGAGTGGTTTGATATCAAATGCTGCATAAATTTTGTAGTCTTTCCAATTAATGGCTTGTTGGGTATGTTCTATACATCCAAGATTATGTCACATCCCCCAAATTCAAAATGTATCTTCCAATACTAAATCATGGCTTCAGATTTCAGCCAATCGTATGGCTACAATTCATCATGGATCATGCTAGCCCATATTATGTTGTTGGGCCCTTCATGCTGGCAGACTTTAACATGACTTTGAGCATACAAGGCAGTGGTCGTGACACAACCTACAATGTTGTCTACATTATACTTAAAAAGAAGGGACCATGGTACAGATCACATGAAAGGTGGTCCCTTTTGTGTGTGTGTGATCAACTCATTTTCAAATTTGAAGTTCCAAACTTCTCATGTTTGCCGTAAATTAAATGTGAGGCAACTATACGTCTTCATTTGTTGGTTTGCCATTAGGGTTAGAGAAAATCCCAGTTTTTTCAATCGTCCTAAGCCTTAAGTAGAGCTAAGAAGAGTCACCTTGGTGCCGGAAGGAAAATTTCAAGTTGTATCCCCTTGCTCTGGTAGCTCGAAGCCCACTGGTTCAGTCAACACGCTGCTTGCTTACCTGAGAAAACAAATAAAAAGAGAAGGGCAGAATTTAATTCATAAGCTGTTACACATTTGAGATAAATTTTTTGGTGCTTGTGCATTTACGAATTGACTTTTTTTTTCTTTTTTTGCAAACGAGGTTTCTAAACCTCTTGAAGATGGATGTAAACCTTGAGCCCCACATGCAACAGGCAATTACAAAGATAAAGAAACTGCAATTGAAGAACAAGTTCCAGTACAGTCTAGGAGGAGGAGGGGGGAGGATTTGGGTTGGGGGGGATCCAGCCCAGTAGATTATGTCAGCGAATAAGAATCCCATGAGGTAAAATAACCAATGCAAGCCAATTCCGCGCACTGGATTGACTCTCACTACTATTATCTTGCAACCTCAATTTCTTTAAGATACATCGGTGAATCACTAAAACAATGATGAACAAACTATTACAATCTTGAAATAAATATACAGCCAAGGACAAAACACCCACGCAAGAGAGAACAGAAATCAGACAGAGAACACAATAGAATCTCCAAAGAAAGGAACAAAGAAATGGGGTTTGCTTTGTTCTTCTTGATAACCCATCTGCAAAAAACAAAAAAATAAATCATTCTTTCATTGCTTTAAAATTGTAGCAGCAACCTTCCAACCAAGTTGTAGCAACATAGCAGGGCAGTAACGAGCAAACAAAGTCAAATTAATCCCCTTGAGCTGCAATCCTCATGCTCCACCAAGTTCCTTGAGTTGGTACAAAGAAAGCATACCCATTCACCATTTTCTAACAAGGAGTTCATCAAAATGGAGACCAAACACACACATACACACTAACAAGGTGGTTTTCATTTCAAAGT